ATCCTATCCTGTTCATCTTGACCTCCCGATGTAAAAAAAAATCATCATTATCACCACAACTGCTACATGGCGAACAGGGCAATAACCCGCTACCACTCCCAAGGTGCACCTGTCCGCGACGTCCCCAGCTTCCTCCAGCAACTCTGGGAGGGAGCATCATCCCCACTGCGCAGATGATAAAACCCCAAAGAGACAGAGTTACTTATTCAACATCGTGGAGCAGACAAACGCAGGGCCGGGACTCCAGTGCAGCTAGCCTGCTTTCAGAGTCCATCAGAGGGCGGCTGTGCCGGCCCTGCAGCAGCTACTGAATAAATGAAGCCAGAGGGGATGAAAGGGAAGAAGTCCTCAGCTGAGAGGATTCAAAGGGGTGACGGCTTTCCCAACAGTGGATGACTCCTGCGCCCATGCATAATTCATCAAAGCTCTGTGCTGAGAGCTGGCTCTTTTTGTGTGTGGTACATCTGGTCAGGGACAGCTGCCTGCGACTGGGCCACAACTGTGAGGACCTGGACCTGCCTGCTCACAAACACGGCTCAGAGCAGCTTCTGCTCTCTTCCTCTGGGGCTGAAGGCTATTCTGACTCCCAGAGGAAGGCGGGGTTCTTGTTGTGTGTGTACAAACACACACACACACACGCACATGACAAAGAAACAGAAAATAAACTCTGCACATGTAGTATGAAATGTAGATGTTCATTCTTGAGCATCACCCTTAGATTCCTTTTGGGAAGGGCTCTATCAGGAGGTTGTTTTCCACACCATTATGTCAATACTCAGATGCAGTTTTACTCCTGGTCTGGTCTTGAGCCCAGACACGTTTTATTTCAGGCACTTCTGTCTGGGATATGTGAGGAACTGGAGGGCAGCAGCAGAAAGCAGCAGCTGAGGGTGGCAAAAAGAACTAAAAAAAAGACTCCATCTGCCACAGAACCTCTTCCAGCTGAAAGTGAAAAACAGAAGTTTTGTATGGGTCCCATTGCAACTCTTAAAAGAAAAAGAAAAAAGAAAACAAAGAAAAAGAGAGTATTTTCTTGAAGGAGGGTCCCTATCGGAGTACATCTGTCCAGGACCAAGCAGCAAGCAGGGCTGCTGTTCCGCACAGCTGCAGGGGTATTCCCCACAAAGAACACAGTGTGAGCCGCCCTTTGGCAACTACGAAAGTTGAGGTGCTCAGCTAGTGGGTCTAAGGTCTGTCCTGATGAACCCACAGAGAAGCAGAAGCACTGGGTGAGAAGAGAACTTGATGTCTGTTCAGCAAAAGGAAACTGAGACATTAATTGACCTGTTCACATAATCCCAGAGTTGTGATATAAACTCAGACATTCTTTTTTTTTTTTTTATCCTCACCCGAGGACATTTTTCCATTTTTTGTTCAGGTAGAGTGGGAGGGAGAGAGAGGAAGAGAGAGAGAGAGAAACATCAACGTGAAAGGGACACATCGAGTGGCTGCCACCCACACAACCAACCAGGGCCGGGGACAAACTGCAACCGAGGTACGCGCCCTTAGCGGGAACGGAACCGAACCCGGGTCTCTCAGGACCGCAGGCCGACGCGCCAACCGCTGAACCAAACGGGCCAGGGCTAAACTCAGACATTCTTGCCCCCAGAATATAGACTCACAGATAGAGCCTGAAGAATGGATTCTTGGACTATTCCAGCCCTACGACTGGAGCAATAAGGGCTGGTGAGGAGGGAAACCTAAGCCAGCTGAAGGACCCTTGGTGCGAGAGGTCAGGGAGTGCCTCCTGTTTGTGTCCAAAGAGGCAAAAATATCTGGGCTTGGTTCTGGCAGGTGTTCTTACTTCAGAATGTCAGGGAGAAAGAGACAACATATTGTAATGGAAAGCCACACCTGGGTTAGATTAGAATCCTGGCTCGGCCCGGCCGGTATGGCTCAGTGTACTGAGTGTTGTCCTATGGACTGAGGGGTCCCAGTTTGATTCCTGGTCAGGGCACATGCCCAGGTTTCGGGCTCAATCCCCAGGAGGGGGCATGCAGGAGGCAGCCCATAGATGTCTCTATCTCTCTCTCCTTTCCTCTCTGTCTAAAAAAGCAATAAAAACATATTTAAAAGAAAAAAAGAAAAAGAATCTTGGCTCAGTCATTTCTAGCTGTGTGACCTTGGGTCAAAATCATTGCTACCTCAAAGTTTTCTGTAAATGTGGAGTGGGAATTTATGGTTAAGTCCTTACTTCACAGAGGGTAGGTGCTCAATACACTGCTGCCTTATTTTTGGTGGCCCCTGAGTGCTAGGTACAGGGTGTTCCTTAAATAAGGCAAGAGCTGACACTAACACCCAGATGCTTGGATTATTCTCAACAAGCCCAGCAAAAGGAGAGCAGTTGTTTTGAGAGTCTCGGGCAGAGGAGTGTTGGGTAGCCCATCTGAACCCAGCCAGGCAGGAGTGTGGCAGAGAAGAGCTGTAGTCCTGGAGCACTAGGCAGGGAAGAAAAAGCACTCAATTTCTCATTGGAAAACAAAGGAAACAGGTGATAAAAGTGACTAAATGAAATAAAGTGATTAAGTGAAAGGAGGTAGTCAAATGTTAACTTTCTTTTGCTTTTCCTCAGATCCTGACTCACAGCTCAAAAACAAACACCCCCCCCCCCCCCCACTGACTTGGGTGATTAAGCTCTGATTCCTTACCTGAGGGTTTTATAGCTATAATTCCCTTTTAAGAAAACCTCTATATTAAAACATTACCCATCATGTGACTGAATCTTTTCATATAACAGATTCTCCTACGAGAGGGAAGCCTATGGTCTTCATCAGAAAGATCTCACCAAGAATCCTAAACCTCAAAGATAACTGCTTTGGTATTAAACCACTAGACAGTTAATGAAATAACCCACTTACAAATGTTAAACGTTTAAGGGAGTATATCTTTTAATAGACAAAGCTGTTGAAAAAATACTGACTCCCTTCTCTGTCACCCTCTTAATACTTGCCCTCCCTCCCAACCCTCACTGGTGGGACACGGCTTGTGTCTCCATCCTTGGCAATGCCCTGCGCACTGTGCTCCCCTGAGCCTGTCTGGTGGTGTCAGCCCCCACCCCCACTAGAAGATGGTATCTGAGCACTGGCACCCTACCATTAGTCTTTGTAGCCTCAGTGGTTATGACAAGGGGCACAGGAGATTCTCTGGAAAGGTTTGGGGGATGAAGGAGCGAATGAGCAACATGTGAATGAACAAATGAATCTTCCCACCAGAGAAAGCAAGCCCAGATCATGTGGCTCTGCATATCTGCATTTGAACCGTACTTAAAGCCTATATCATAGATGGAAGGATTCAGATGATAACTATTTTTTAAGTGATTTAAAAAAAGATATTTGCGCTAAGAGTAATTTTTGCTGCATCTCAAGGATATATTTTTCTCAGTAGGAACACTAATCCCACAAGAAAAAAATTAAATGAAAAGCAATTTACTTTCAGGTTACTTCCCCTCCACAAATCATACCTATCTCCTAGCAAGCCGAGGTATTTCCCGAGCCTACTGCTCACATGTATGAAAGCTGTGAGACTGAGAGGTGTATGAGGATTTTTGCCCCTGCTTTTTTTTTTTTATTCCATTCTTATACGCCAGCCCCCCCTTTCCCCAATGAGCATTTTATTCCTTTACCAGGAATAAAGTAAAAGAAAAAACAAAAACAAAATCCATGAAGCATATACATGACAAAGATCTGGGGAAAAAAGGAGATTTCACATAGGAAACAAAGATTATACCAAAGAATTTCAGAGGAAAGCAGGAGCTCATAGTCCTTCCTCGAGGGAAGATAAAAAGCAGGGTTCCTGGGGCAGGACATCTAGTCTAGACTCAAGTGACTACATAATTTGCAGAGCCTGGTGCACAGTGAAAATGCCGGGCCCCTTATTCAAAGGATTTTGTAAATATTTGAAGACCCCATATAGATTCCTGAGCCCTGGATCCTTGCTACTCAGAATGAAATTTTTATAAGACACTAATGCCTCAGAGATTCTTAGTTAGCCGATTTGGCATGGGTCCTGGGCATCACTATTTTTAATTTATTTATAAATATGTTTTTATTGATTCGAAAGAGACACACACACACACATCAGTGTGAGAGAGAAACATCGATCTGTTGTTTCCTGCACACACCCCAACCAGGGACTGAACCTGTAACGTGGGCATGTGCCCCGACTGGGAATTGAACTGGCAATCTTTCTGCGCAGAGACAACACTCAACCAACTGATCCACACCAGCCAGAGCAGTATTAATATTTTTAAAATGCTTCTCCTTAATTGATTTGCATAGGTTTAAGAACCACTGATTTAGGGTCTCTACTTGCCTTAAAAAACCCTGCTCCTCAATCATCCTAGAGTTGGGGACGAGTCCAAACAAATGTCAGAAAATTTCTGCCATTTAGAGCTCATTTCAAAAAGCTGAGCTATTCTTTTGTGAAGGTTACTAAAACCCAAACATAAACCAGCATTTCTCCTTCTCACCTGTCCCCTCCCAAGTGCATAAAAATAAACACATTACATCAATAATAACCCCAAAGAACCCTTTCTCCCCCCAAAGAGTGGCCAGCATGGCTGTGCGGGATGGTGTCAAATGGATGGGCTAGGCAGACAGACATGGATCAGAAAAAAGGATCAAGGTGAGAGCTATCCGACAGGATGGCTGATAGGTAACGGTGCAGAGTGCTAGAGAGCTGAGAGAAGGGGGAAAAGGAACAGGACTGAGAAATGGGGTGGTGCTGAGGTACCTGAAGACAGTAACTTTAGCTTCATCACAACCCCGAAAGATCTTAGGTTCCCATTTGAATGTCATTAGGGCTAGGGTTTCCTCTAATATTTGGCAACTCCTTTACACCCTTACCTTTTGCCTATTCCTCCTCTACTAAAGAGACAGCCTTTAGCTGCAGCCTGCTCTCCTTGGTCAAGGAGTCTGAAGGCCTCATCATAGTCCCAACACTAAGCCTCTTCCAGGAGGCACCTTGCCCCTTCTGACAAAGGTCCGTGTTTGTTTTCGTACCTGTGCTCTCCTCAGCCTGATTGAAGCCACAGATCTGACAGATGCTCTGGACCCACTTATTCATGTCCTCCTCTGTCTCAGCCACCAGGTAAAAGGTGCGCTCGCTGGTCTTGATGTCAAACACAAAACTATCCTGCAGCTCCTTCTTGTTGAAGGTCAGGCCCGCATCCACCTGCTCACAGAAGTTGAGGTTGATGATCCGCAGGGGCTTCTTGGAGTGATCATTCTTGTAGTATTCCAGAACATCTGGGTCGCCGCTCATCCGGCCACTCCGCAGGATAAACCAGCGTTTCTTCCAGGCCTGAACAGGAAGAATTAAGAAGAGGGGGAGAAGGTCATCCTCGGATCATCAGCAGGTTAAGAACGGGCACTGCTGCACCTGCAGGCGGAGCAGGGCCTCCAGCTCTCTCTCACACTGCCCCGGAGTTTCAGAAATGGAGGGTGACCTCAGAATGCATATGAGCACCCCATTTCACCATGGAAACGGATTTATCACCACGAAATGAATTGTGGCATTCTCACTTTTTAGATCAGGAAGTTAGATGTGGACTAAAACACTTTAGAGCAATTGTTGCATTAAAGTGCAATTGTTGCATTAGGCTAGAATACAGACTCAGACTCTCAGTACGTTTCGTCAGGGTGGAGCTCGCCAAACCGTAACATCTCAGTTTATGGATGCCGCCTCCCCTCCAAGACACAGCGAGTTGAAGCAACAATGCCATACGCAACAAATAGCAGGACAACAAGTTCCCTAACTTTTAGTATGTTTTTTTTTTTTTTTTAAACCAAATCATGATGCCTCAAAAGAATCACAAAGAAACCCTTCTCTATTGCATGTGATTTTAGGGCTTTTCTCCCTGTCTCATTCACTGCTACATCCCCAGGACTTATAATAGAGCCTTGCAGATACTAAGCACTCAATTTGTATTACTGAACAAACAAACTCGTTATATGATTCCATACTATAGACTTGAACACTTGGTTATACCTACATTGTATTCTACAGTCCATCTCTTCAACAAGACTGAATGAGCAGTGAGCAAACACCATACAGAGTGGTGAAAAGACGTCACGTAAAACAGAGTCCTGGGTTGAGTCTATGCTTTACCACTGACTAGCCGTGTGATTTTAGATTAGGACATTTATGCCTCTGGGTCTTGTCTCATTTATATAATGACAATCAACATCACCAACAGTATCTACCTTACAGGATTTTTATTATGCAAATCCACCCAAAGCACTTTACCACCCTATAAAGCACTTCAAATGCCAACTACTTGATAATTATCCTAATTTTTTAGAGCCCTTTAGGGCCTCCATTCCATTAATCCTACATCTTTTCTCTCTCAGATTCTGCCCCTGTCCTCACTTCCTTCCTCACCTCATTTTGTTTCAGACTCTTCATTGTAATCATTCCTTTGCTTCTTTCTCCATTCCTCTTATTTATCTGGGAAAACCACAACCACTGGATAAGTCTACGGTTCTGCCTGTTCCACTCAGCTGGAGAAAAGCATACTACCATGTTGACTGGTCTCACTTGAACTTCAAGTGTTCCTCATGCTGCCCCACAATTCTGCAACATTTACCTAGTCCATGACTTTCTCCTGCTCTTTGGCAATAGTCGCGGAACTTCTCTCTCTTTAAACCTTCAATAGCTCCACATCTTTGTTTCTTATTTCATGAGAAAATATAAGCAATCAAAAGTAACTTACACATGTTCCATCACCACGTTTACCAACCAGCCTGCATCTGTAGCAAAGTACTGTTACTTGGTAGCACGAATAGTTCACTCCAAGACCATCCTTTTCTACTTGTGCATCTCCTCCCACCTACACAGGGACATCATGTTAACAATTCTCCCCCTCTAGAATCACTCCATTTCCCCTCCCTGCCAGGATCATGCCCATCAGGACAACGACTTCTCCCGTCTTAGAAAAAAAATTAAAAGCTTGATTTAATCCCACATTCCCCTCTAATTATGGCCTGGTTATTCTACTTTTTACAGAAAAACCTCAAAGAGTTTTCTATACTACTAATCTTGGTTTCTTCTCCTCCCATTCTTTTTTGTTGTTGTTTGAAAGCAATCTAATCAGGCTGTCTCCCCACCCCTCAATAAAGGTCCCAAAGATTTCGATGCTGATAACACTTTATTATTCCATCACCTGTGAAGCACTTTCTTCATGTGGCTTCAGTGTTCACTCTCAATTTTCCTCTTATCTCCCTAGCCTCTGTCTTTCCATCTCCGGTGCTGGTTCCTTCTCATCTCCCTGACCTCTAAACTCTGGAAGGCCCCAGTGCTCAGTTCTGACTCTTCTCTTTCTACACCCACTCCTTGAGTTATTTTATTCAGTTTCACAGCTTTAAAAGCCATCTAACTGTTGCAATTTCCGTTTATATCTCTAGCCCAGACCCATCTAGTGAACTCCAGTCTTACACACAATTCTTCTAACAGGCATCTCAAATTCAATGTACTCAAAACTGAGGTCTTGATATCCTCCGATCTTGTTCTTCTGCAATCTTTCCCATCTCAGTTAAGGTCAACTCCATCCTTCTTGGTGCCCAGACCAAAAATCTTGATGTCCTCACCGACTTTTTTTTCATATTCCACATCAAGTCCAACAGCAAATCCTGTTGGTGCAAACAGTTTGAAATCTAGCTACAATCTCGTCACTTCTCCATACTTCCCGTTATTCACTCAATCTAGTCCACTGTTGTGTAGTCTTCCTGCTTCCACGCTTTCATCCTGTGATCTGTTCTCAACCCAGAAGCTGAAGTAACTCAGATGTAAATCAGAACATCTCATTTCTGTGCGAAAAACCTCCAGTGGCTTTCCATCGCACTCAGAGTAAGAGCCACGTCACAATGGCTAAGGCGGTCCCTCATCCCACATCTCACCTCATCTCCTGCCATTCTCCACCCATTCTGCTCTAGCCACACAGGCCTTTAGCACGACCACACACTCCAGCCTCAGGGTCTTGGCTCTACTTGCTCCCTTTGCCTGTAACCATCCCCACCTCAGATATTCCCATTGCTTAGTCTTCCCTTCAAGTTTGTATTCAAATAACACATTATTGAAGAGGCCATTTCTGACCACTTAACCCTCACATACTCTTTCCCCCTTTATTCTACTATACTGGTCTCCTAGCCCTTATAGCACCTAAAATACCATATTTCTGTTGATTGTCTGCATCTACCTCCCAGAATGTAAACTCCACCAGGGCAAGGGTAGGTTCTTTTTTTATCCCATGCTGCACACTCAGTGTTTAGAATAGACTTGCACATAACTAGGAAGTCAGTCATGGGGACAGAACTGATGCCTAATAAGCCTTAGACAGAAATGAAGATTAGGTTCTAGCCAGACAGGACAGAGCTAAGGAAAATAAACATAAGTACTACTTATTTATAGTCACCCACAGTCTTGCCCAGGACACTGCTTACAGAGTGCTGTGTGTGTGCACACATATTTGTGTAAATGTGTGGCTAAGTTGCATTTTATAATGATACTGTTAATAGTTTAGCTTGTGTTCAGTTGCTGTACCCACTTTGGTGCTGGTTTCTGCAGAGAGCTGATCCAAATCTCTGGAGTGCAGGTGTAAGCATAACCACACACACGGAGACAGCCTCATAAACAAGAAAAAGACGTTTGCTACGGATAACATCAGAGCCTGCCAGGTTCCACGCCCAAGGAAGTGGTGCGGGCTGATAAATGGCTGGCTATCAAATGCCGATAAACCTATGACAGAGCAGGCGAGGCTGTAAGGTCCAGTCCCAAATTCCCATCTCTCTTCTGCTGCAACACCTCTTCAAGCCAATGCAGTTTGTTTGGGAAACCAAGCCATTCAGAACAAAGCAACTTCAAAGAGGCTAGCTCCAATGACAACGTCTCTGATCCTCTCTACTTTCTCAGAACCTTAATAACACTTTTTATGTACGTCTCATGGCATGTCATTCCTTACAACATATCACAGATAATTCTGCATTTGTTGTTTCTTCTCTGTAGACTACAAACAACATTTCTCCTATTCCCTTTTGAATCTCCATGGTAGGCATTTGCTAAATGTTACTAAGCAAGGCTCTTCTCTTTATTATCCAACCTTTCTTATCTCTGTGACCTCATTTATGTATGTTTCTAGGTTCCCTCCCTCCCTCCCATCATCCATCCATCCATCCATCCATCCATCCATCCATCCAATATTTATTTAGTGCTTACTATGCTACAGGCATTACTCAGATGCTGACGATTATAGCATGAGTTCCTGGTCTTACAGAAATTCTTATTTTCCTCCAAATGTGCAACATAACTGCATGACTTCATGTCTTTGCATACGCTGTTACTTCTTCCTAGAATGCCTTCCACCTCACTCTGTCTCTCTGGAGAACTCCCATGTCGTCTCCTGCAGCTTGAGCATCATGTATCCTGGAAGGCCTTTACTGATTCCCGTGTAGATCCTGCCCAGGTTACCTTAATAATCTGAGCTTTCTTTGGCCATTTTTTCACTCATCTTTGGCATTTCAATTGCTTGTATGTCCTCTTCCCCTTTAAGCTCTATAAGCTATGTGGCCAACAGTTACTTGGCAGAGTGCTTAGCCTATATGGAAATTCAGTAAAGATCTGTTGACTTTTTCCCAATCAACACAGAGGTGGGCAAAATTAGGCTTATAGTTATTCATATGGAAAAAGACATACAGGTTATGATTATTATAATAGCTCTATCAACTCAAAAGAATGTCACAATGGCAGACTCACACTGTAAATCTACTTTTGCCCACCCCTGTATATTAATTTCTTCAAACTAATAAATGCAATTAAAAATATAAGTAAGTTGCCCAGCCAGTGTGGCTCAGTGATTGAGCGTCGACCCATGCACCAAGAGGTCACCAGTTCGATTCCTGGTCAGGACACATGCCCAGGTTGTGGGCCCAATCCCCAGTGGGGGGCATGCAGGAGGCGACCAATCAATGTTCTCTCTCATCGATGCTTCTCTTTCTCTGTCTCCCTTCCTCTCTCTCTAAAATCAATTAAGAAAATTTAAAAACAAATATAAGTAAGCATTCACAGTAAGGAGGAAAGGACGGCAAGAGGATTACAGTAAAGAAAGACAGAGCTGTGCTATGGATTCTCTCTGAGGTGAGTTCTTTAGTGTCTTGTTCCCTTCATCTGGTGAGTGCACTGACCGTGTAATAAATATTTACAGGGGACTCTGGGAGCTTTGGCTTGAAAGTGTCCCATGATACAGAAATGAAAAGTTACTGTTGGATTACTGACACATAATGCAAAAAAAATATGGGAATGTGAGTTCT